TACTAAGTGAGAGATGGATTGACTGATGTTTGTAGTGTAAAAGATCAAGAGCCCAGGAAAATGGAAAAGATGAGTTAGGTCATGAAGTGTATCCCTTGAGTTTTAAAATATCCTTCAAACTTCTTTCTTGCTCTACACTACAAGTCATAGATACCCAAAGTGACGGAGGCCCCACATGCCTCCTCAGCCCTTCTCAACCTCTCACACCATGGCATGTATGGAATCAGTAGTATTCTGAGAGTCACTGTAGTAAACTGGTAAGGCTGCTCCTAGCCAGAGGCAACTCCTTCTGGAAACATGTCAACTGTATCCCAGTCTGATTCACCCCTTTGTTACAACACTAAGCAAATGGCGCCGGGACATGACCTGTCTTCTCTGTTGTCAAAGCAAAAATTGCACTTGACAGGGCTTAAATGTTGTGCCCCGTTCTCACCAAATATCTGTGACACCCTGACAAAGGACCACACGTGGTACAGGTGCTGAGGAAGGCACAGAGTAGGGTCTGCCCAGCTGCCTGTAGGAAGCTGCCTGGAGTGCATTCTCCTCTGGGTTCCTCACCATGTTAAGAGCAACAAGGGGAGAGAATTTCCAAACACTGCTCTTCTCCTTCTGGTAGATAAATCCCTCTTTCTCCTCCTTCCACAGTGCTCACTCCTCAGAGGCAAAGTGTAGAGAGACTTCTAGATGCTGAAGACTTGTGCTCTAAAGAAAACTCAATTCAAGACAAGACTGTACAGTGAAAAGCTCCACAGTGGCTCTCCCTCAGCTGTAGGAGGGGGTGGAATTCTGCAAAGTCAGATTCAGGCTTTAAGATGAAAATAGATTTGTTCCTTTATGTTTTGAATCACTAAAACAAAAGCATAGGAGAGAATTTAAGAACAAATAAAGAAACAAACAAACAGAAGCCCTCATGTACTGGAATCTGTAGTCTGGCCTCTGCCTCACAGGGGCTCATCTCACAGAGACTTCACTGTGCCCGGGGGTGTGCTCCACCCACATTGGCTTGCTCAGCTCCTTGGGCACCCTCGCTCCTGCCCGCTCCTGCCCGCCACAAAGTCTCTGCATGTGTGGCTGCTCCACCGAACCCGCTTCACTCTCTTTCCTCAACCACTGCCCTCTCCCCCTTTGCCTGGTTAACTTCTCCAGTCTTTCACATCTCACTTTAAACTTTGCTTTCTCTACCCACCTTCCTTGATCTTTCTCACCAGGTCAGCCCTCTATTGGAGACACCCTCCATCCAAGTACTTACAGTTACCACTTTGTATTTCTTCATGTGGCTTTCTCGATCAATGCCTACCTCCCCCACCAAACTGTAAGCTCCATGGTGGCAGAGACGTGTTCTCTGGAACTCCCCATTGCTCCCCCAACACCATCTAACATAGTGCCCATCATACAGCAGGTACTTAATAAATAGTTCATGGTTTGTTTAATGAGTGAATGAATGAACATGTGGATTTCACTCATCTTAGTCTCCCTGGGATTTGTCTTTCTCAAAGAGTTAACAGTAGTTTGAAAAAAGTCTTCTGCTAAAGAATGCCAATGTGTGGTCTTAACTCAATAGGTAGGAAGGAATTGACAAAATGAAGGTGCAATCCATGGCCAAAATCATCCCTCTACTTTTCTCCTAAAGCTTTAGAAAAAGAGGGGAAACTTAGCCTCAGTGGCCCCTGTCAGGGTGTCATAGGGCATACCTCATACTTTTTATGTGGGACCATTTCGAGAACTAGTAACAGTGAGTTTATTTAATAAACTGAAATTCATCCCAGTCTGTAGATGGACCCTCAGTCTCTAGAAGTTTTAATGGTACCATGATCTTATCGAAAAAGCAACACTCTGAGGTCTAAGTGGTATGTTGGTAAATAAATATCATAAAGTTTGAATTTTTAATATAATTTTGATATTCAGTTAAAATTGCATGTTAAAAAAGTGAAGGCTGGTATCTTGGCAATTCTAAGACCATTTGCCACAATTATTCTGCGTTGGAGATTGGAGTATGAGCTCTGTAGCATTTAGTGTTAATGAGCAATAACACGAATGATAAGCTTACGAAGTGGCACAAAACGTGGATCCACTTAGAAGACATCCAGAGAAATCAATAAAGGATTATTGACTTTTTTAGAAAAGAGGATTCCAAATTATTTTAAACACATTTTTAAAAACTGGATCACACCTTGAAATGATTTTCTCCCTTACTGTATTTTTTTTACTTATTTGTTTGTTTGGGCAGTGAGGTGAAAAGATATGTAGGACACCTGGAAGTGCTTATAGCATTAAAAGGTGGGCTAGCTGATGTCTTTTCCTGAACCAAGTTGGAAGTAGTCAAGTATTTCCCTCCTTAATAAAATCACAAAATTGTAGAATCCACCGCAAGGACATTTGATACCTAGGAGACCTGTAGTTCTGGTATGCTGGAGCTTGAAATGTATTCTGGAAAGCTTCTGGCTCTTGGAAAGGGTTCAGACAGATTACAAGAGTATATTCTGCGGGTCCTGAAGTCAAGGTTATGATAACTAGCAACTGTGAAAATATTTAAAGGTTTCTGTGAATGGGATCTGATTGGATCTAGATGCTTAGGGTTTGTTTCACCTAAGTTTTGTATTCTGATTAGTAAATATTTTAAATTCTTCTTAAGAGAAATTTATTATGGAGGGCAAAAACATTCTATATTGCTTTTGTCTCAGTTAACCTCACCATGGAAAGTTTAGTGTTTCACACCAGGGGATTGCCCACATTGCAGCCTACCGCCTTACAAGGAACTAAGTTGCCTCTGGAGGGCAAGGTTGCACCCTGTGCTGTGAGGGGAGGTCAGATATTACCAGGTCAGGTAAGAAAACCAAATGCCCTAAAAAGTGGATTCAGAAAGAGTTTTGTTCCATGGTATTCGCTTACTTTGGGCCCTTACCTGGGAGCTATCAAGAATGGCCAGAAAAAGCACCTGACCTCTGCAACAGGGTGCTCACCTCCGGACAGCACCGAGGGGAGGCTTGAGAGCCCTGGAGCCAATAGGATAGGTTATGCCCGGGGCCAGCGTACACAGTTGATGCTCCGGCGGAGGAACAGGAATTCAGTAGAGTGCCTGTCCTCTCTTCTTGCTTAAATTGGCAGTAACAACCCCTCTACTAATATCACAGTGGCTAGTAGCTTCAAACTCAAGAGTACTTGGAAATTAGCTAATCCAATTCACTTAGGTTTTAGAGGTAAAAACGAGTCCCAGAAAATGTAAAGGACTCTCCCCAACAGATTTCTGTATGTCCAAATGTCAGTGTGGGACTTGACAGCACTCCACTGATGGGAAGACCTGAGTGGGGAAGGGCTAATTGTACTAAATGTGTGTGCATTCAGCTCCCTGACTAGAACAGCTCCCAGTGACACAGACAGCACAGCGGCCCTCCTGGAAGAGGCAGCCTAACCAGAGTTTCCTCTGAACCCTGATGAGCAAGGCATTTGCAAGTGGGCGCTCAGTGTTGAGGCCCAAAGGAACCATATGTGGGGTACAGATTGCCCTGGAAAACGAAAGCTAACCTGAAGGAGTGAATGGTGTTGGCAACGAGCGTGCATTTTTCTTAATTATGTTAATTAAATTCTAAGAGGAAAATTTTCTAGGAATAATACGCCTATAGATGAGAAAAACTTCCTGGCCCCAGACACCATTCTTTAAAGGGTGCATCTTGCTGAATTGCTGCTTGGAGTGTTACATTGCACACTCTCGTTTCACCGTATGGGCTCTTCATCTCTTGTATTTTATGTAATACAGTTTGTGCAGAGAAGAGAATATCCTGATTGCAAAAGGATGGGGGAGGAGGGGTAGTATGGGAAGACATCAGTGGAAAATCCACTGTGTTCCTTCCTCTAAGTCAAATTCAGAGTTCCAGGAGGATAGCAGTCTTCCAGGGCTCACTTTAATGACCTAGTCTGAGTGTGACATTTTCAGCCTGCAGACCGGGGATCCAGCTCCCTTGCTCTCCTGCCCCCTGCTGGAAGGAGGAGGGTGGTGCCCCCATTCCCAAAGCCTCCCTCAAGGAGCTCTCAACATTGATTGGTCAGCTCCTCCCTCAGAGACCCCACTGACATCTACAGCACTTTTGTTCAAAATGGGAACACTGAGGCTATAGGCCACTCTGGGGCTAGAGGCCCGAGCCTTATTTCTGCATGGATTGTAAAACTCTCACTTCTCCCTTTCTTCCTTTGTTAGGCAAACAAATAACACCTCCAATTCTTGGTGCAAACAGTTGGATGCAGTTAACTCTCCATTTTCACAGCTCTAAGACAATAAAAACAGAAAAGATCTCCTCATTCTATACTACAGGGCCGTTTGATGGCTGAGAAGACCTTCCATTTTCACCATGGTGGGCAGGGCTAATAGGAGCAAGCTCATTGTGCACGGAGAAGATCCCTTTCTCAGTTCATAATCCCAAACTGGGGACAGCTGCTCTCTGGGAACCTACATGTAGTTGTCAGTACTAAGACATGTGCCGGGCCCCTTCTAACACCTGTTCCAACCTTCCAGCATAGAGACTTCCCAGTCCTTTCCACTGTCTGCCCAGGTCCCTGCGCTGGTCCCTGCCCTGCATGCTGTCAAATACAGGTTTGCATGGATGCCCCATGCTCCCAAGAAGGTCTAGATCTCAAGGTAGCATAACTTGCATTTTACCCCTTATTATGCTAAATTTGTGTTCCTTTTCTGCATACAAAGCTCCCTCTGAAGTAAGGGATCTTTTATAGCAGAGATGCAGTTCTGTCTGATTCGAATGAATGTTCTGATGTAGAATATTAAAGTTAATACCTTTATTTTTATGCACCCCAAACACAGAAAGACTTTGATTTCTCCCATTAAAGTAGACATGAGGGTTTGTAGTCTCACACTTTGGTTTGGGGAGACAAAATTGGTTACAAAACTGTTCTGAACTTTGTGTTAATTAATTTCTTACCTGTTGCTTGTTATTGAGATGTAAATGTTAAATTTAAACTCCAATTTAACACAATATTCATTCTTTCTGCAGCACCTGAAATCCTTAGAGGCTGTGCCTATGGACCTGAGGTGGACATGTGGTCTGTCGGAATAATCACCTACATCTTGTAAGTGAAGAAAAGCAACCTCTATGTGTTCTATTTGCCTTTGCTGTAATATTTTCTAGGTACTGATAGTCCTCATAAAAATCAAGACTACTTTTTGACTTTTGTAATTTTCTATGACATACTAAAAGTAGCCAGTGATAGAATTTTCTGAAAATAAGCATTACTTTTTATTCTATAATTTCCTTAGAACCAGCACTTCTGTCCAGGACTTCTCTCTTTCTCTCTTTTTTTGTAATGTTTATTTATTTATTTTGAGAGAGAGGGGGGGGGGGAGCATGAGCAGGGGAGGGGCAGAGAGAGAGGGAGAGAGGGAAAATCACAAGCAGGCTCTGCACTGTCAGCACAGAGCCCAACACTGGACTCAATTTCATGAACTGTGAACGGAAATCAAGAGTCAGATGCTTAACTGACTGAGCCACCAGGCGCCCCACTGTCCAGGACTTTTCTCAGTCCCATTTTGCAGTGCAGTGTGTAGCAGATTTGGAGAACAATTCATTATTTGATGATAGTAATGAATATGAAACTCAAGTCCATCTATTAAAAACGTGCTGTTATTTTACTTATTTGCATCTCATCAAAATACAGTATTAGTATTTATTAGTTATTTAGTATTTAGTTATTAGTATTGCTTTTTAAAAAGCAAGTGGCTATTTAATTTCATAAACAATTCCAGACTGGTACATTTCTTGTCAGCAATGTTTTTAATGCAATTTGCCTATCAATTTTGTTTTCTATTTGTGTTAGGTCCCCAAGGACCTTGAGTTTAATACCCTAAACTCAGAGAAACCTTTTCTCTGGTAGAAAAAAGTTGGGCTAATCTCTTGCTCTCTGGTATCCCCAACTCCATTCCTGAGCTCCTGGCTATGAATAAACAAAAGGTTTCAGGAAATTTGCCAAAGACATGATGGAATTGCAGAGGAATATGAGGGAGGTAAGCAAGGACAGAGGAGTGTCTGGGAAGACTGCTGAAGAGAGGCTACAGAAGAAAGGTGTCAGTGAGTTCTGGAGTTTAACTTAAGACAAGCAGATTTGGTTGCCGTTTAGAGGACACTGCACAGTTACTTGTTGGAACCTATATACCATTCAAATCTGTAGAGATTTTGGAAGGTATGAAAGAGAGGATATTAATCGGCTCAGGCTGCCATGACAAAATACTGCAAACTGGGTGGTTTAAACAACAGAATTTTATTTCTCACAGTTTCAGAGGCTGGAAGTCTGAGATCAGAGTGCCAGGAGGTCCAGTCCTGGTGAGAGCTCTCTTCCTGACTTGCAGACACCTGTCCTCTAACTCTTTCCTCACATGGCAGAGAAAGAATGTAAGCTCTTTGGTATCTCTTCTTCTAAGGACGCAAATCACATCATGAAGTTAGCCCACCCTCATGACCACATCAAACCCTAATTACCTCCCAAAGACTCTATCTCCAAATACCATTGCACTGGGGGATTAGGACTTCAACATATGAATTTTAGGGAGACACATTTCAGTCCATAGCAGAAAGAGGTTTGGGTGTTGTTGTTGTTATTGTTGTTTTTGAATTTAATAGTGATCTTAGAAAGTGTAGTATCTGGGTAATAAGGACTAGGAAGAGGGTAACTAGGGTACCCCCAAACAAATTAGTAAACTCTGTGTTCACCTGGATATATTCAGTAGTCAGTAGCCAAAACAAAAAAGTTTAATAAGCAACCCATTAAATAGCTGTCTGCTACTGTGTAACGTCAAAAGATAGTTTCAGTGTTGAATTCTTTGTGTATCCAGAATATAGTAAAGGCTTGAAAAGCATTTGGAGAGGTAGAGAAACATAGTTTTTTTCTTATGAAAGTGCAAAACTGTTAGGTAATTTTTTTGCCATACTAAGTGCTTAATTCACTAAAACGAATTCCCGAGGCCACATCATGGAACTCCTTCAGCTTACATTTGAGGTCACTTTTATACTCAGGAGACAGTGTTGGCTCCTGAATTAGGCAGGTGACATATCACAGTGACGTGAAATAAAAAACTGAACTGCACAAATAATGAATCAGATTTGCCCCTAAAGTATCAGTGTGCCCACCCAATTGCAATTTCATGCTGAAATGTGATGGGGGGGGGGGGGGGGTGTAAGCATTAAGGTTGTACAGGAACTCAGAGAGATGAAGGTAGGAAACTACATCACATTCACCCTGAGAACCTGAAATCTGGAACGAGTAAAACCCCATAATGTGGTCACTGAGCAGGGAAAACGAAGAGGGAAGAATGTGATTGTTGGAGAAACATCATAGCCCTGAAAATAATTTTAAGAGTCTGTCAAAGCCCCTTCCCCTGGTTCACTTAAGGTCATTAATTAGTAGGTGTTGCTTCAAAGTATGCAGTAGTAGCCTGTGACCACCGCCACAGCCCTCCCACCAGGACAAGTTCTCCAAGACTGTGCCATTGGACCTGTGTATCTCCTTTACTATAATTAAAAGTTCCACTGAGCTATTTTGTGCTGTGACCTTGCTATTTTCTAAGGATGACAGTAGACTAGAAATGAAGGCCTTTTTGTTATTTCTCACAGAAACTCTGGTCCCTCTACCTTTTACACCTAAATCCTTTGTGCCTTCAGACAAAAGCAACTACTACAATGCTTAGGTCAGAATCAGACTCAGATAAGGCCGGAGATTTGAACTCTGTCCTGCAGCTGTCCCACACTACAGTTCTTCCCAGCAGCCTGGAGCTCCCCTGTATCAGACATTCACATGGTTGGCCTAACCCTAATGTCCTCTGCAACTTTCATTGTCAGGATTCTCAAATATTTCCATTTCTGAAGGCTTTTTGTAGTGTGTGTGTGTGTGTGTGTGTGTGTGTGTGTGTGTGTGTGTGTGTGTGTGTTGTTCTGTGTCATAGTTCTTCCATTTTTGGCATTTTAGGCTGACATGACATAAACTTTTTACTTCTGTCATCAGTGCACAGATTTACAGATATGTTTGAGAAGTAAGAAAGGCATTTGAGTACTGTACCTTCTGAACTGTAATTTTTCTTTCTAGACTCCCAGAAGGGGAAACAGAAGAGTTTCCTAAACCAAGCCTGGAACGTTGGCTAATTTCTCCATGACTAACTAACAGTAGGCTATATTTTTCTAGTGTTGTGGCTGGCACTGGAGGGCCAGGCAAGGCTGAGCTGCCCCCTTGTGTGGACGTAGGCTCCCTTCTCTCCTTATGGGGGAGCAGGACTCTCAGTGCAGATGGCTGGCTGCGGTGGGAGAGGACACACTGGTCTGAGCCTCAGCACTGCCAGGCCTTTCTTGTCCTGGCTGGCTCCAGAATATTCAAAAGAGACAAAGACTCCCAATAGAACAGTCCCTGAGCAAAGGACATGACAAAATGCTTTTCCCTAGAAACCCACTGCATTAGAAAGCACTCAAACATTTCATGCTCTACACCCTCCTGACCAGATTGAAAGAAGAATTTAAGAAAATGTTTTTTAACATGTTCATCCTTTCTCCTCCATTTTTTGTCCAGTGCAACTCATATCCTGGTAGGGAGTTGTTTTTATAGTTTCCTCTTGATCCCTAGTGATTTCAGAACCTGTACCCATCTGTAAAGAGTGGAGGCTTTTTTTTTTTTAATTTTTTAAATATTTTTATTTTTGAGAGAGAGAGAAAGACTGAGTGTGAGCAGGGAAGGGGCATAGAGAGAGGGAGACACAGAACCCAAAGCAGGCCCCAGGCTCTGAGCTGACAGCAGAAAACCAGATGCGGGACTCAAACTTGTGAACCACGAGATCATGACCTGAGCCGAAGTCACATGCTTAACCAACTGAGCCACCCAGCTGCCCCTACAGTGGAGGCTTTTGGTGGTCCCTTTTCAGCAACTCACTTTTCCTCTCTCTCTTTAGGATGTTGAAGATGATTTTCTATTTCTTTCCCTCCACTTTTCCCATTCACTTGTATGCTGACCCCCTAGTGGAAAGTGAAGGTGAATGTAGATCTTCCAGAGGTACAGAAGTGAGGGTCACACACAGGGCTAAGGGAGCACCAGCCCATTCATCTCTGTTGGCCCCATGTGTTCACTCTGTCAGGTTTTAAAGGGTCATTTCCTGACAACAGTCTTAGCTCCTGTCTTTGTTCATCCTGACATCCAAACTGGTGTGGGATGGAAATCTAGTACTTTACTCATTTCTATGGTGGAATTCAACGAATAGAGCTGAGGAAAAATGACTGAAAAATGTTTTCTGTCTACCTCTTAATCTGTTTATTCTCAAAATCCTAATTCTTCCACTTTGTAATAAATTGGAACTTCTAATCAGTCCATCTTCTCAATTCCTGCTGAAAAGAAATCCTCAGAAAATCATTAGCATAGTGCCTGTAATAGTGTTAACAATTATTGTTATTGTTTTGTGTCAGAGTCATTGATGTTATTATAAACTCTTTGTAGAAATTCTGAATCGGCTTTGTACCTATTCTTACTTCCAGAGAGCATGATGTGTATTTACACAGCAAAAGTGAATTATAACGAGGCAGTTCCACACTCGTGCTGAGTAGACTGGTGTTCGTAATGGGAAGCTGTGAAAAGGACAATTCTGAATTACCACAAAAATTTGATGAAATGTATTTAGGCATTTAAAGACATTTTATTCCCTATCTTTTGTCCTTCTAGACTTTGTGGATTTGAACCATTCTATGATGAAAGAGGTGATCAGTTCATGTTCAGGAGAATTCTGAATTGTGAATACTACTTTATCTCCCCCTGGTGGGATGAAGTATCTCTAAATGCCAAGGACTTGGTAAGTGTGATCAAAACAAAACGAAGAACAATCCTCGTATTCATTTTTAATTAGTTAATGGGCAGTGTCATTTTTTAAAATTTGCCCCTCTTAATATCTTATTTCTTTATAATTGTATTTTTTATAAAACATATAAAAGGCACGCTAATGCATTTTCCTTGTAGATAATGAAAAACAGATATGCCTGACTCATCACCAGCTGAATTATCACAAACTAAAAGTCACTACAGTATTAATTAGTGAGTTTTTACCATCTAGTCAAGGTAAAACCTTGCCTGTGAAGCCAGCTGTTCTGGGTGAATTCAAATATAATTTACACAGAATAATTCCATTTTAACCTGGCTTGCCTAGATTACCTAGATTTGATTATATTTCAAATAAGCATTGCATCTTGAGAGGTTCAAACTTATTAAAATATCCCAGTAGTAACACAAGTCCCATCATGCATCACTGGCATCATACACAAGTTACACTCTACTGATAATTCATTTTGTTTGTTTTTTTGTTTGTTTTACTTGGGATCTCACTTAAGCTCATATTAAAGTTTGTGTGTATATCGTCACCGGAGATGGCCCACCTATTCTAAAATGAGGGGGATACTAGCATGGGATGAAAGCAGTAACCATCAATGGCTAGAGAAAAACCACCCAGAAATAACTAAAAGCTAACTTTTAAACCACAGAAGGCTAGCTCTCCAAGGGATCTTAGGAGTCATTGAATGTTTCCCTCCTTTTAAAGATGAGGGTGCTAAAGCCCAGAGAGGTGAACTGACTGTCCAAGGTCACACAGCTCCCCAGCAGAACAAATGATCCAGGTTTCCAGCCAATGCTCTTTTCCCTCCAAACTTTTTCTCCTTCCCATCCATGTTCTTTCATGGAACAAACCCCCTCTAGACCATGACTTTTCAGTGCAGTCAGGCAGAGAGACAGTGTGTGCGATGTGTGGAGGCATCATCCCAACTCCTGGCTCAAGCCAGGCCCCACACGCCTGAACACTTCTTGAATCCATCCGCTTCTCCCCACTCCACCACCACTGCCCCTACCAGGCCTGTCCTCTCCTATGACCACTGCCACAACCCTCCTGTGGCCTTCCCACCTCCTCCATGCCCTTTTCAGGTAAGCTCTCCAAGCAGGATCCTGAGGAAGGGCCTAGTAAATAAATCAATCCTGTCACTCTCCTGCTTTGAGGCCCTTAGGAGAAAATCCAAAATCTGTAATGAGATCTACACAGCACCGCCTGGCCGGGAACCTGTCACCCTGCCCATGCCACCCATTTCACAGACTGTCCTCTGGTCTGTCTTCACACCAGGATACCAGACTAACAGCCCCTCGTCAGGATAGCTCAGCGTGTGGGCCGTTACTCTTTCCTCTGCTTTGTAACGTTCTTCCTCCTATCTTCCAGCCTCTTCCTCCATACTGCCTCTCTCTCACACGTGTGCACATACACACACACACACACACACACACACACACACGTGCACACACACCTCTCGCATGGGTAACTCTTCATGTCAAGCCGCAGTTGCCATTTGACTCCCTTGGGGTAGCTTTGCCGCCCCCCCACCTCCCGCCTCAGCAGTCCCTCCTTCCCACACCTGCTTTGTTCCTTCCGCCACTATTATTGCTTTGCCTCCAGCTCACGCTTTCATGATGGTTGTTAGTTATATTTACTTGTGGAAAGGTCTTCCTTAATTGGACTGCAAGTTCTGGGAGAGGTCGAGGCATGTGTGCCCAGGTCTTAGTACCACGTGGGCATGTAGTGCAGACTCAGTAAATGTGTACTGAATGAAACAATGGATCAGGAAGTAGACCATAGATTTTTAAAGTCTGACACACCTGAAGTGCCCCCTTTTTAAAGTGCCCCCTTTCTTACAACCTACAGGTGTGACCTTGGGCTTGTTATCTAATCTCTCTACTTTAGTTTTCTTTTCTGGGATGATACAGTACCTTTGTCTAGATTATTGTGAGACTTAAGGATATATAATGCATGTTAACTAACTACCGTCAACTAACTCCATAACAGTTCCTTTACTTTCTTTTCATCTCTAATGAAAATTAAGTGGATAAGAGCATTAGCTGTGATATTCCTTCGTTCGGCTAATTTTTTTAAGTTTATTTATTTTGAAAGACAGTGTGAGTGGGGGAGGGGAAGAGAAAGGAAAGAGAGAATCCCAAGCAGGCTCCACACTGCCTGGGCAGAGCCAGATGTGGGGCTCAAACCCACAAAACTGCGAGATCATGAACCTGAGCCAAAACCTAGAGCTGGATGCTCAACCAATTGAGCCACCCAGGCACTCCTCAGCTAATTTTTTCTTAATTAATTTATTTTATTTTGAGAGAGAGAGAGAGAGAGAGAGAGAGCATACGTGCACAAGTGGGGGAGGGGCAGAGAGAGAGAATCCCAAGCAGGCTCCACATTGTCAGCGCAGAGCCTGATGCAGGGCTTGAACTCATGGATCGTGAGATCATGACCTGAGCTGACATCAAGAGTTGGATGCTTAACTGACTGAGCCACCCAGGCACCCCCATCCAGCTAAGTCTTACCTTTGAGCTAATAAATTTATGAAACTTCAGAACTAACAGAGTCCTTGAGTACCACAGCTGTGTACCTACCAGAAGAACCTGCATCTGTTCTGATAACAGCAGGGGAACAGTGCCAACACATGGTGGAGTCAGGTTGTGAGGGGAGCTGTCGGATCAAGGCAAGGCTTTGGGTTTGAATCTTGGCAGGATCACCGGGTCTCTCTGACCTTCAGCAAGTTTAACAATTCAGTGCATTCGTATCTTCAGATGTAAAGATTAATGCTGACATGTGGAATTTGGGGGAACATTCTGAATTTCAGTAAATTCTTTGTATTTTCACGAGGATGAGGATGGTAATGATGAGGAGGAGGAAAAGGACCATTGAAAAACGGGAGGGAAATAATATTGTGAATTGTCGCTAAAGATTAGGTGCCATTTACATAAAATTATTAGGACACGTATCCCACAGGTTATAGGGGGACTGCAATCAGATTTTTACTTCCTTCTGCACATTCATTTTCCTTAACCACCTGTGCTTCCCACCACCTCCTCTCAGAGTTTTAGCCCAAACAACCTCACATCTCTACCCTCTACAAATTTTGTCTCTTACCCCAAACACACATTTCTTTGCAAATTTTACAGAAAAGAAGTAAAAGGAGAACCAGGTATGTGTTCTTTGTTTGAGTTGCTGCCTGATTTGTGTTAGCCTGTGTTCAGTTCTTCTTACCTTATCAGAGTTAGGAAGACCTTAGGCCTATGACACCAAAAGCCCCTCATTTGCCACATGCGCAGACTGAAGGCCAGGGGCGTTGACGGACTGCCATGGAGGCGCTGTGGTAGAGTAGCCACAAAATGAGCTCTGAGGTAAGACAGACCTGAGTTTGCACACAGCCTCCACCAATTACAAGTTGTCCGACCTTAGGTAAGGCACTACATCTTTCTGAGCTTCCTCTCATCCCTCATTTATGAATTGGAGCTAATAGTTCCAAGTTGATAAGGTCATGGAAAGAATTATATTAATTTTGAAACATTTTTATATGCACATAAGAGTGTATTTACAAAGGAATGAAGGTGGAAATGAGATCATATAAGAAAAAGGCCTAGGAGAATGTCCACAGGGACTCAGTTAGTATGTGGGTCTTTGTCTAGGGTCACAAAAGTAGGTAAGAGATGTAACTGCGCTTGAACATGCCTCCTAACTCCAAATAGTCTCTGTCTCATTCCAGGTCACCCCTTCTGAGCCCAGGGCCAGAGATTATTTTGGTTGTTGATCTCCCTGGCAGTTTATTATCTGCTCATCCTCAGGGGTCAACCTCCAGAATGGTCTGCCATGGGTTGAATTCAGTCCTTTAAACAAATCATGCCCCTAAACCACTGACACCTTTGCTTTGATTCTAAATAGGCTTTTACTCCAGCACTTGGCTTATTCCTTCAAAACCCTGAAGGTATTAGAAAGAATGAACTTTACCATAGAGTCATGGGATAAGAGTAAGGACTATGGTACTGTCCCTTTGATGCCATTTAATCCCCATAGAAAACATGATGGATGCACGATGATACTATCTCCACTGAGATACAACAAATTCTGAATTCTTTTTTTTTTTAACGTTTTTATTTATTTTTGAGACAGAGAGAGGTAGAGCATGAACGGGGGAGGGTCAGAAAGAGAGACACAGAATCTGAAACAGGCTCCAGGCTCTGAGCTGTCAGCACAGAGCCCGACGCGGGGCTCGAACCCACAAACTGCGAGATCGTGACCTGAGCTGAAGTCGGACACTTAACCGACTGAGCCACCCAGGCGCCCCAACAAGTTCTGAATTCTAAGTGGTATGAAGTACAGCCTAGAATTATTCAGATGCTCGTTCTCCTTCAGACAGTCCACAGGCAAGCCAGGACCTGTTTCTTTAACCTCCCTTGGAAAACTGTCTGCAAGTTTAGGCTCTTAGCTGGTGCACACCACTGTCTTCTCAGACCCCCTCAGCTGCTGCTACCTGAAGCTATCAGTACAGTGACTACTGACGGCTTAAAAGCTTTTTTTTTTTTAATGTATATTTCATGGTATTGCTAGGAAAATAGAAATTCACAAGCTGAGGGGCAAGCCATAAAAAAATCTCCCTAAGAAATCTACGGTTCTTTGTCGTTTCAGGTTAGAAAATTAATTGTTTTGGATCCTAAGAAACGGCTGACTACTTTCCAAGCTCTCCAGCACCCATGGGTCACAGGCAAAGCAGCTAATTTTGTACACATGGATACCGCTCAAAAGAAGCTCCAAGAATTCAATGCCCGACGCAAGCTTAAGGTAAGATTTGTAGATTTGTTTTTTCTGTTAAAAAAAAAAAATCTCTCTCTTAGCTTCAACTATTAAAGATAATTCCACTATTCTTCATCTAATAATATTATTTATCTCCTATGGTACCAGGGAAAATCCTGCTTTGAAATCCCAACAATGTAAAGCCACTGACAGTTATGTTATTCTCTCTTAAGAATTCATTATTGGGGCACCTGGGTGGCTCAGTCGGTTAAGTGTCCAACTTCAGCTCAGGTCATGATCTCGCAGTCCATGAGTTCAAGCCCTGTGTCGGGCTCTTAGCTGATAGCTCAGAGCCTGGAGCCTGCTTCAGATTCTGTGTCTCCCTCTTTCTCTGTCCCTTCCCCACTCATGCTCTCACTCTCTCTCTCTCTCTCTCTCTCCCCCCCCCAGAAATAAATAAGCATTAAAAATTTTTTAAAGAATTCATTATTAATAAAGGGAAATGTGTTATATGTTGAGATTTACTCACGAAACACATTATCACTGCTACTCATTTAATTGTGACTGAACTGCTTAAACAGCATTGCTCAGGAAACTGGTACATATTCAGAAAGTTTTCTTTCTGAATATGTGAAAATTGGGAAACTTTTAAAAACTATAATGTAATGTAGATAAATTACAATACTTGGTAAAAATTAAAATACAATTAACCTTTGAACAATCCTGGGTTTAGGGGCACCAACCCCTCAACACAGTTGATCTACCTATAACTTTCGGCTCCCCCAAAACTTAATCACTAATAGCCTACTGTTGACTGGTAGCCTTAGAGATAACAGTCAATTAATGCATAGTTTTTATGTTCAATGTTTTATGTACTATATCCTTACAATAATACCTAATTTTTTCTTAACATTTCGGGTATTTCTAGGCTACATACTTCATCTGTGAGTTTTTTCAAATTGTTGAAAATCTCTAAAAAACTTTTCAATGTATCTATTGAAAAAAATCTGCATGTAAATGGACCCTTGCAATTCAAACGCATGTTGTTCAAGTGTCAACTGTAATTCATGTGATACAGAAAACTGTCCAAAATATATCTTTTTATAGAATATATATAGAAGATATATTAGATGCTTTTCTCTTACATAATGGTGTTTAGGACTGACTGTATATCCAGAGAATTTCAGAGAACAGCTGAAGGTCAAAAATAACGTTCGATTCAGCCATCACTTACAGGCTGATAAAGACTAAATGAACCTTAAGGGCTCTGTGGTCAAATTGATCTGAAATACTATGGATTAAATAACCTTGACTGAACCCAGGACTTCTCAAACAAACCTAACCATGGAATTCTTTTGTCACATAATACTAGTGTTCCATGAAACAAATACTTTAGGAAACAAAGTCCAAAATATTTGAAACCAGGTTATCCATGGGCAAACATATTTACTCAAGCTTTCACTGGTCTAGATGATTAAATACTCTAGCTTGGGATTAAAGAGATTTTTCTGTTTATGCTCCATACAAGTTTTCATTCAACCATCTTGGAATAATAAATATGTCTGGAACATGCAAAGCTGAGATGGAGCTCTGATTGGGGATTTTAAGTGCAGGTGACACCTGACACTTCTCTGTTTCTAATCAGGCAGCAGTGAAGGCCGTGGTGGCCTCTTCCCGGCTGGGAAGCGCCAGCAGCAGCCACAGCAGCATCCAAGAGAGCCAGAAGGCCGGCCAGGCACCTTCTTCGATTCAGGATGGCAGTGAAGATGTTAAAGCTATCTCAGAAGGAGACGAAGTTCAAGGAAGTGGGGCCCCAGTGGCAGTTGAGCGGGCAGAGGCTGAGCTGATGAAGGTACAGGCCGTAGAAGAAGTTAAAGATGCTGATATAAGTGCTGCCAAGGCCGCCAGTGCGGTGCCCAAAGCAATAGAAGATGGGACAAAGGTGGCTGACCCGGAAATCGAGGAGGGCCTAGTAGAGGAGAAGCTGAAGACCTTGGAGGAAGCAGCAGCCTCCAAACAAGAGCAAGAAAACCCGGCTGTGGTATTTGGAGCTCAGCAGAATGATGTGATCCTGCCAGAGTACTGATTTGGCTTCTTTCCAGTCGGGAGGCCAAATGCGGGCACTTTGTATGTTTTGTCCTTCAGCAAGGAAGATGTAGAAGCATGATCTGCATTATAGTGATTCTGTTTTTTGAGGTGCAAAAAAAAATACATATATATCAGTTGGTAATCCTAACTTCATGCATGTGACTGCTTTATGAAAAAATAGTGTCTTCTCTGGTATGTAATGGATACCTAATGCTGATGAGTTAAATTTGAAATTTTGAGTAAACAACATACATTTTAAAAACATACATTTTCAGGGACCAGTAGCATACATTTGAAGTAACTAGTAACACATTGTTTTTGCTTTGAAAACCTAGCCATCATACATCCTTTGGATTTCTTCACAAGGCAGTAATTCCTTTGGACTGTTGCTCAATATTAGGTAATGCTATAAGACATGTTCCCATGGCATTCACATTATACTTTTCAGTGTGTTCAAACTGTTTACAAGGAGATGGTTATAGGGTGCAGTTTTATGGTACATATAAAAAATCCCACTTACAATGGTAAGAAGTTGAAGCATACTTAAGGGCCATGAAACAAAATGCCCTTAAAGCTTGTGTAGCAAATGCTTTCTAATTTTGTCCTTATTTATACACACTATATTACTAATAACCAAAAATGTTCTATCACAAAATCCTGCCATTTTATAATCCTGGAGAAAGTATTTTACAGACTCCTGCTGAGAGATATATCCCTTCCTTCCCATGCTAATACAGTTTCTTTCTCATGGACAACACTTAAGGTAGGCTAAAGAAACTGAGGGAAGAGAAGGAGCTAAGGCCTAGACCTAAACTAACAAAGGTTGACTGCTTGTCATTTTCAGATACAATTGGATTTATTCATGAGTTTGTACAACTTTAAAGACCGTGACATTTTTATGAATAAACTCTGTATTTACCGAGTTTCAAATATTCAGAAAAATCTACCCCACAGGCTGGTGCCAAAATGTCTGAATAGAGTGAGAATAATATTCCATTATAAGATCATCCACTTTACTAGAGTAAGGAAACTTTTGTTTATGAAAGTCCTTTTTCCCTTCAGTTGATGATGAACTAGAAATATTGCTTATGAACTAAAGATATTTCAGAAAATCTGGTATATCTTTTTCTCATACTTGGAATAGAAGTGCCCACATCTTACAATGTAGTTTTTTAGTTTCCATGCCAAGAAATTTAGGACAGTGCAACATTTTATTTGCCTTAAAAAACAAAAACAAAAACAAAAAGAAACAAAGAAAGAGCACTGATTTCAAATCAGACTCACAAGAAGCTGTAACATTAGACCTAATACTTCATTATGATTTTTTTTCAAAGTATTTTTCTTTGATTTTTCATATGAACACTTTTCCCTTATAGAAACCACACCTAAATTCCAAGTACCTCATATTTCTTTCTAGTTTGAGATGAAGTGAACATTTTTATCAAATTATGCATCACAAATAGGTTTCCTCAGTTTTAAAAAAGGATTATTTTCAGAGACCAAAATATGGACAGTAAAAATGACTGTCACATAAAAATCTTCACCGAAAAAAGATCTTAAATTCTTTTGGCTCTTCCTCAAAACTGTCAAATTGGAAAATGAAATTAAATCTCTGGTTCCTGCGGGCTCCTGGACCTTGGTAGATACTCTGCTTTCCAAGCGCAAACCTTCCTTTACTACTGTTGTCATAAGAAGAAAAGGTAGGACTTCTCATCGTCCGTGGTTTAAGGGCCTGATGGGTCACCGACATGGACAGAGGAAAAAGCCCTTAAAGAGCACATCATCTGGGCTCAGAAGATTATTTTTTGTTTTAGCTAGTTGAGAGTACTTATTTTCTCCCGTTTCTTTCCTTCCTTCTTTATTCTCTCAGAATTTCCAGGTTAGTAATTATAAAGGGCTCACTCTTTTTAATCTTTAAGAATGCCTTCTTCACTAAGCATTAACATTTCCATTTAAGAAGATCAATTGCCCGATGTGCTTTTCCTAATGAGACTTAACAGGCAGATAGGGTCGTTGTCCCATATACTGGAAAAGGAAAGAAGAGAGGGAAATGGATCTTACTGGACAGTGGCATTGTTGGAACATCATTAGGTGTTGCCCTTCCGGGCCCCGTCCACCCCCACAGTGTTCCGAGGGAGGGCAGTCATTCTCTGATCCATCACTCAGGCTGACTGCGCTGCCTGTGGCCTGTGTTAACAGGAGCTCCAGCAGTAGCGGATGCGAAAGGCTAGTGTGTGTTTAAGAATTTACCCATTTAAATGAGTACCCATGCCTTTTCCTTGGTGAGTACTTGAGCACCTGAGGGTGATTTCCTCTATTTTTTTTTTTAACCTGTAAATTGCACTTTCTAAAGATTAACGGGAGTTTTAAATTTTGACTGTAAAAGATGAAGTCCTGATGATGCCAAAATAGTGACTAACTTTGTCATTTCAATGCAAAAACAAGTCAGACTTTCACAAAAATTGGTCATTTCAGCCAAACGATTCAATCTAAGATTTAACAGAAATACAATCTGTTAGGATAATTAGATTAACCATTTTGAAAGAACAACAAACATTTATCTTCTTTATTTAAAAGAGATCTGTTATCTATCTCAAAGATTAACTTAGCTAGGGGCGCCTGGGTGGCTTAGTCCATTAAGCATCTGACTTCAGCTCAGGTCATGATCTCATGTTCATGAGTTCTAGCCCCACATTGGACTCTGTGCTGACAGCTGAGAGCCTGGAGCCTGTTTTGAATTCTGTGTCTCCCTCTCTTTCTGCCCCTCCCCTGCTCATGCTCTCTCTCTCTCAAAAGTAAACATTAAAAAACAACAACAACAACAACCCCACAAAGATTACTTAGCTAAATAATGGTAGACTGTTGTAGAAAGAGCCTTAATTTGACAAACTCTTTCATAATGTTACCTTTAATTAAGACAATATAGTCACAAAGCAAAAACATTAAGGTTATTTTAGCACAGAACAATAAATTCTGTTTTGCATTTTAGAGCTGACAGTTAATACATTATTGATTTTTGTTTCTCAAATAAGTTCAGATACATAGCATGAACTAGACTATTTTACCATGAAGAATTATGGTAATTATTATTTCTCACATTTAAAAAGTCTAGTCAGAATCCCACTGGGTTTTTCAGGCTGTAAGAGCTCATTTGCCCCACAAATACATAAATAAGGGAGAAATTAGAATAACATGGTTGTAGAAGTTATCATCTAGAACAAGTGCTATAATCCCAATGTATAATCAATATGAAAAATTATTGAGATATTTTGAATTTATTATTTTTATATTGTTTTAAAAATCAGGAGTATGTGTGTGTGTGTGTGTGTGTGTGTATATATATATATATATATATATATATATATATATATTACACCTTTAGGACATCAAGTGCTCAATAGCCACACATGACTAGTGGCTAATGTTTTGGAACAAAACTGTTCTAGAGTGCACTTCTAAAGCAAAAATGACACATGAATTTCTATGCTTAGATTTGAGCTGCCTCAGTTTTCCATACTGATGAGTTGGTAGGAGGCCAAAAAGAAAATGTTTCCGAAATGTCACAGACCAAAATAAGTAAAAACTCTATTGGCCACATCTGCTTAATCATGTACTTCAAAGGAAGATTTCCCATCACGACTTTTAGAGAACAATGCCTTCCTGGGCATTGCAAAATTGTCTGTTTGCCACAGTCCCTCTAATCCCTCTCTGGGCCCTGGAATCTTGACTTCAGGCTCGAGTCTCCTGAGTACTGCCATAACATCAACAGTATTCTTGTGTATGAAACCATGTGTCCCCACTCAGGAGGGACTACACACAGACCCTTAATAGCATTTTTTTAAGGCTGGACTGAGGTGGGCATCATTTTGTTACAGGCAATATTTCGTTCTACAAATCACCCGAACATACTAAATTTGTGTGATGAAGATCGTTTGGGGAGGGTGAGGATATCCCAGTAACCCCCAAAATAAGAATGACCGTTGGCTGGATCTTTTTAGATTTCCTCAGAACTGTTCAATCAACACTGCCATTATACATGGATTCAAAGACTTAGAATTTTCTTATATACTGCTATTTTAGAATAGTCCTCAAAGTTCTATAGCCATGTTGAGTGGCAAACTTAAAAAAAGAAAGGAATAGTTTGCCTATTACTGTGACCTCAATTACATAGTATTTAAAACATATTTTGTAACTTAGAATATCTAGCAACCCCTATTTCCAGTTTCACATGCAAGGTAACTGTTGGTGGATTGCCTACAGACTGAAGATTTAGAGCCATTGTGTTTCATAATTCAGTTTTTATTTCACAGAAGCATCTGGTCGCATTTCAAATTAGAAAAAAAAAAAAGTAAATGCCAGAAAAGGCAAAGAGTAAAATTACTAAGCCATTTATTCTGTTGTAGGATTGTTCTTGCAAAGCAAATGCAAAAACAAACAAACAAAAACCAGAAAGAAAGAAAGAAAGAAAGAAAGAAAGAAAGAAAGAAAGAAAGAAAGAAAGAAAGAAAAAGAAAGAAAGAACAGAAAAACAGAAGTCAACGAAGTGAATCAGCACTCGGTTTTTCTGGATGAAGGTTGACTCCACGAAAAATTGAAATAAATATACCGAGCAGAGTCAATTACATAATTACAATGCCATTATGTAATTTATCGTCATTGTGGAGTATAGACTGGTTATGTAGGTCTGCTTTAGATGGTGCAAAGTTTCCAGACATAATAGGATTTGTAATATCCTTACAATCACTGTCTCTTAGGTCATATTCCAATTTCCTCAATGTTCATCACAGATATGTTCCCGATTAGGGTCGTTGCTAACATTTGAGCATTTACTAGTTAAATACTGCTTAATGGCTAGACTGTGTGTCACCCGTGGTTTTTAAAAACATTATGTGCATGCAATTGCAATATTAATATTACAATATTCATAACTACATGATGAATAGAAATGTACCCAATAATTTTCTATACATTTTTTTCAAAGTCCTTTTCTCCCCTTGGCACAACTCAGGGTGAGTTTCTGGTTCCTTGACAAATAAGGGGGAAAAAAGACGACTGGAGAGAGATCAGCTACCCACCATGGTTACC